TTCGATTAATTTTAACCGACTTCAAAAAAAGAAAGAAGAAGGTTCTCAGTTTTTTTTTATGGAATAAGCCGGTAAACGAGAAGACGGATCACCTGATGGTAAGCTATCGGCGTCGCCCATGGACACCTGGAACACGAGGCGTTACAAGTGCGTTACCGGCTTTGGGGATTAGGAGTTTGAGGATCGTTGGGGATTCAGGAATTGGGGAGATTGGGGAAGGGGAGGGTAATTGGGCCTTCAGTAACCTCACTCACACGACGAAACATAACGTAAGCGTTGCTTCACGTCGGTTTTCTGTGAGGCCGTGGTATCACTCCGTTCGAGCCGGCCCATTCGTGCCGAAGCATGGCTCTCCCACACTTAAGTCCCACACTTCAGTTTGACCTTATGTATGTATGAACATACTCCTTACATTAATATTATGTATGTTTGTATGTATGAATGTTTGTGCTCGATTATCTTGCGATTGGCTGAACCGATTTTGATTTGGTTCAGAGGTATATGAGTTGACCGACTTCTAAAGAAAAGAAGGAGTTCAAGTCGAGTTTTTTAAACGTAGTTTTATAAAAGAATTATTATCGTGGCCGTGTATAGTTTACAAGATGTTTTTGCGACGAAACCATTGAACGAATTTTTCTTATTCTCTCTGATCGAGGTTGTTGGTCTTCCCATCAAGTTATATAATAGGCACATTTTGGGGGACAGGTTATCTACTTATACTTAAAAGAAATTAGGCACACAAATTAAAGTAACTGCATGGTGCTGTACATGATGATATTGAGGATATGATGAGAGTCACGAAGCTTACTGATGAATCATGTCTGCGCTATCCAATGTTTAGTGTATAGATGTCCACTTGCTCACCATTATAATTAATGCAGTACTTCTTTAATTTTTTTTTTAAGTTTAACGCTGTTTTGTCGTTACTTTATTTTCATATACATAATACATGTATACAACAGCTAAGGATCATATTATGTATTTGTGAGATTGTAAATAAACATTTTTTTAAAAAGAGTAACGATGGTGTTTCTCCCTCGTTCTTATCTATTCGAAATTACACTTTGGAACGATCACCTAGCTTCGTTAAGAATTCAATTCGACGTTTCAAAATTGCTTAATCAAGGATAAATTGAAATAATTACTTTGATTTTTGGAGTTTCTTGAACAAGCACCGTTTCAAAAGTACCAAATGATTGTTTCAAAATAAATGCTTTGACTTTTATGTAACAAGATAAATAGTTACCATATATGAAGCGCTAATGCGTGAATTAATAAATTATATTGAATATAATATTTGTAGATAAATTATTGACTGCCTCGTTGGCCGAGTGGTCGCAAGTTTGACTGCTGGGCAATGGGGTCGGGTCGGGTAAAGTATTACTGGGGTTCTATAAAATTCACAGTAGTAGTACGGAGTCTGGAATTGTGCCCGGTATATGGCATTAGGTTTACCCCATAAATAGTTACATGGGACTCATAACATAAAGAATGAAAAGTGGGTGTTACATTGTACAATGGCATTAAGTGCCGTAAATGTGGTCCTATGCCTAGGTACCTCTTCGGGGATAAAAGGCGTGATAATTTTTCGTCGATTGGTGTTCTTTTTACTTTAAAAGAGATTACTTTAAGATACTGCAATTCCTCCAGATCTGATTCACGCGTCGGTGTCGTTCACGTTGTCAGTCACTGTCTGTTTTGGATAAACATCGAGTACCTATTTAATATTTAAGTAATTTATTTGGTAGAAATATTACTCCTGTTTTTGTCGAATACCATCCTGAATTAGTAACATATACCTAAACATTCCGTAGCCGTGTCAAATAGTAAGAATGGGGTGGTTTTTAGTCAGTAAGAGTCTGGCACTCGCTCTCGAATAACCCGAGGCGGGAGAAGTCATTGGATGATTTCCTCCCTCAAAAAAAAGCCGTGTCAACGCTCACACATGTTGAGTAGACCTGTGTTATATAAAAAACGTAGCAAATGAATACAGTTATACTATAGCTACAAATACACACAAACTATAATATGTGTTGTCGTCTCGTAATCTCATTTACGGACATGACGCAATACTTCTATTTAATATTCTGTTTTTGTTGCCACACCTCAGCGCAAGCGCATGATTTGTGCGATCTTTATTGTTACAATGTTTACTTATTTAAATTTTGTATAGGGAACTATATAAGTACCTATCTATATAGGTATTTTTTTTTTTTTTTTTTTTAAGGGGGGAAAATCATCAAATGACTGCCCCCGCCTGGGTGAGGCGGGAGGGAGTGTCAGACTCTTACTGACTAAAAACCACCCCGTTCCTTCTCCTGCACGTCGAGCCGGAGCCCCGGTTACCCGTTAGGTTCTCCGCGACTCCGAATCGGCATCGGCCCTATTGGGCCCCATCTGTGGTGGTCTGATGGCTCTTTGAGGCGCGCGCGGAACGCGACGCGCCGTACGCTCGGGTCTGTTTCTGGTCGGACGGGGAGCCACCCATGCTCGCCGTCCGCAGGCCCGCGCTTACGGTGGCCGGAGATCGTCCCGCGATCCCCGACGCCCGGTGTGTCCTTCGCGATGGCTGGGTTGCGAGGAGGCAGCGCTTCGCTGCCTCACGCGTCCCGCCTCCTCCTTAGCTAGCATGACTGCTTCGCAAAAGGAGGAGACGGCATCCCAATCCCCCTCGCTCCGCATCATGGCCTGCACTAGGCCCGGACGCGAGAGGTCGCCATCGCCGATCACTTCCCTGAGGACACGGCGGTGCTCAGCCCACGAAGGGCATTCTCCCACCGTGTGTTCCACCGTGTCCTCAGGGCGGTCATCTATATAGGTATAGGTACCTACCTTAATACCATATAATCCAGCTAGATGTTTAGTGATTATTGTAGGCCCCAGGATCGGTCCAAGGCTCCTTTGTGCCTTCAGTTCGGTGCCTTGTGCGAGCGATATTATAAAGGTATACATATTACCTACTATGTAGAAAAAATTGTATTGGGTCATTTCTACGGCTTCAATTTTTGTGATAAGATAAATAACCAGTCAACCACTGTGCGATAACAGTTCATTATAATTTATATTTTGAAGTGCAGTTTTATCTTTTATAGAACGTGTGTAATAACGTACTTACATTGATATTTTCTATGCACTATTGAAGTCATTTGAAGTATTCTTCTGTTAAATATTAAAATTCTACGGTACAATTGAAGTACGGTACGGTACGATTCGTTATTTGCATAGATATGGATCAAAGCTAGAGTTGAGAAGTCAAGTAGGCAAGTCTATTAAAACTTCTACATTTTAGTTAGCCAAACCAAAGCATACATTGGTTTCGTTTGCAGACTAAAGTAAGTAAGTAAGTCGGAGTAAGTATAATATAGACAGCGAAGCCTTAAAATACCCAAATCAAGTGTGTCAGTCACTCAAAGGAAGGTGCCAGAAGCAGGTCATTCATTGAATTATGACTCCACTTTATATAAAATATTCTCAGATTATTAGGCCATGAGTCACTCAGGTTTGCATACTAGTAACTCTTGTATGAAAATTAATAAACTTGTATTTACAAATAATATAAAGCTAAATAAAACAAATACTAACTACTTATTACTTAAGAGACAATAAAACTAATCGAAAAAATTAAATAAGAAAAAACTAAATATGACTATTTACAAAGATCATCAATAAAGAAAAAGAAGAAAGAACATAAGTAAGTACAAAACAATATAGGTACTATGATACCCAATAAAAATTTGTTGACTGGTCTAAAGGAATTTGTGAAATTGTGAGTCGGCTATACTAAACCTAGGAGATGATGTGACTCATGAAGCCTACAGATGGGTCATGTCTGCGCTGTCCAACGTTTAGGGAGCAGACGGTGTAGTACGAGTTTCGTCGGAGTCTGATTGGTTGGTTCATTGGAACTGGCCAATCAGACCTCCGAACGCGATCTCGTTTCGATTACTTTAATTTAAACGTAAAACAAATTCGCACTAAAGCTTTTGATATAACTTCTATGTAACAAGATAAATAGTTGCCATAAATGAAATTAGTTACTCAGGTCTAAACCTAAAGCAATTCGTCAGTCGGCTATACTATAAGACCTTACAAATAAAGTTAAGTTTTTATCAATAACATTATTATGAACTTGGAAATGTAGCATAATCTTGATTACGTCAGGGCTTTGCCACCGGCACCGTCTCGGCGTCGCCGGGGCCTCGAGACTTCGCAAGGTCAAGGATACCAAGAAGGACAAATGGATCTGATCCTATCTTTGAAATTCCTGAACGAAGGCCATTTGTGAGGATACAAAACAATCGACTGTTTATTTTTTAGCTAAATCAAAACGTTCTCCAAAAATACGGTCAATATTTTGCTACGGAAGAAAATATTTTCAGGAAACTGCAAATTTTTGGTTTAAAAACTGAAAATATTTGGAAAATTCTACTGAATACTTAGTCTAGTACACATTGTAGTAATTACACAAATATTAATCTCTCTGTCAGCTGCTCACATATACGCAGCATTTTATTATATTCTATTCTATCATGCAGTATGTACAAAATAAGATTTGGGAAATTAATTTATTGCTATCCTACCTATATCCAAGAGACTCAGAAATAATGTCCGCATAGAACTTTAAATATTTTAACAGCTTCTAACGATAATTTGACATTGTATGGATCATAGTTGGTTAAAAAGGAAAAATATAACGATACAACATAGGCCAATAACATGTACGATAAATTTATAAAATATAGAGCAATGTAACGCAACTGGATACCTCCCATATGCTTTGTTCAGTACCTATAATTTTAACATCATCTCACTCAATAACGCTAAAATCTCCAAGTAAAATCAATACTCAGCCTCCGACATGGACCAGTTTCTTTCTTTATTTAATGTCTGTAGCTTCTGATAAAGATTATCTCATAATGTTGTCATTCATATTTTTTATCAAACTTGTTTTTATTGTAAGTAAGTAGATACATAAGCCATAATAATAATAATTAGATTACCTTATACAATGAATATCCGTTGAAAGACCATAAGCATTAACAAGTGCTTCACAAAAAACTCACATTTTCATTGATAAAATCTATATTTTTGTTACAATTAATTTGCTATCAATTTCGTATTGGAATCTGCAAGCACACACGTTTATTCCCCTACGCATGCCGCGGTAACTAACTCCAATAGAATTCAATTCTATGAGATAAGCCGTTTTAGATTTGGAGCTCGCGAATGTGGTAACTGCGCGGTCAGAAAAGAGACAGCACGAAAACATAAAAACATATCGTATGCCTGAAAGAGACGACCGCATGATTGTCAGTATGTACCAGATAACCTCCAAACTTTTGACAGCTTTGTTTACGTGACGTAACCACATGATGTCATGGTAACGCCGCCATTTGCTATTTTTGTGGTTTTGGCGGGATTTTTATTATTAAGCCAATGTTGTTATTAACAGTAAAGTTATTTGGTTTATTGTATCAAGTGTACCTACTTTTTAGTACCGAGTAATAACTATGTTATTAATTCTGATATAAGTAACCAGCATCATTAAACAGGATGCTGTCGAGGCTCTAACCTTAGGATTTACAGATAAAATACCTACCTACCTACGACCACCATACACACATAAACTGTACATACTTAAGTTCGAACTTATAGAAATAGGTAAACTAGTAAACTTGTATATAGTTATTATTTACACGTCAGAAATCACCTACTTACCCACATTTTTTGTTCTAGTTGAAGCCACTTCAGCACCATTTGTATTGAAATCAAAGTGTTTCAAGATTTAGAATATTGCTATTTACATTGTTAAATAACGATTTATCTACTTACGGCCTTTTTGTTACCGCCCGTAATAAATGCATTAAGGTGTTCATTTAGTCGTATTTGTATATTTTAATTAAGTAAATACAAACAAAATTAAAGCATAGATAAATACGTACCAAAGTATTTATTTCTGCGTTTCTTTTCGACGAATGTTACGTAAAAGGACTAAGGATATTCGTAGCAATACCGTCGTAGCGGTCGCAATGCGCCAAAATAAGACGCAAAATAAGACGCGGTAGTTAATAGTTTTTATTTAGTTCATAGTCAAATAATTGGGTAGTCTCAAAATTAAAAATCTAATTCCGTCAGTTAGATAATGAAAAATTATTAGACATGTATTTTTTATTTTCTCGTATTCAGTTGCAATACTTAGATAAAATGGCGCTAGGTTTAGATGTGGGAGGTTGTTACGTCATAACGTGCTACATACAAAATATAGCACGCTGTGACGTCACACGATATTTAAAATTAATATATCGTCGAAAGTAGGTATTAGAAAATAATAAATGCGTCTCTATAGTTTCAAACTAATCTACCACACTGACATCAAAAAAATGTAGGAAACTACCCTACTATGAACCTAGTTAAAAGTGGTAATAATACTTATTATATAAGGTACAGGCATAAAGTTCAAATAAAAGATAAAAAATTACTCGGACTTTCGATTTATTATAAAAAAACATTAACACAGACTTGGACCCAAAGAAAGCGTGGGGCTACCTAAGATCTGGGTACAAAATGGCGCGATTTATGAGCGGTTCTTTAGCATTTATCAACATTTTACCATGTTCATGGTATTCCCTTCTATATTTAATTAGTCTCCATGCCAGCAGTGCTAGCTCTCGAAACCCGTAGTGCAGTAAGCGACAACGATAAATTAGGAATAAGGACATAAAAATTATTTAAAAAAATATTAAGTAAGTTGGTTTAACGGTGAACATACTTTTTTTCTAGTAGATATCAGTAAACTGCATCTAAAATTTATGAATTTTCATAATTAAGTAGCTATCTCTGAACTCTGAATTATAACTAGAACTGTCAGAATGGTGTAGGTACAGATTGGGGGAATATTTTTCTTTATATCTATATTTTTATACAATGCTAGGCATTATTTGCGAAACTTCACAACTAAAGCTTTAAATTACTTGTAAATAATACAATATATACAATCGAGCACAACATGTTCAAACCCTCCATAGCTCAGCCTCCTTACTAACAACCTTACTTTCACAATTATCATCTTATCGATTACATTTCCACTTATTACAAATGGCGGAGTTTAATTTCGTTAAGCAGTCTTATCCGAATATAAATAGCCGTTCGTCAGCAAAACACGTATGGCCTAACACATATGGGACATCTGTCTGAATTTGCCAGGCATTTCCTTAAACAGTCTGCGTGGAAGAAGTGGGCACAGGGCGTTACTCGTGCTGACTTCATAGTTCCCAAGCACACTGCACAAACGTCCTCAAGTGTCGCGAGCTCTTCTGTCGTAGCTCGCCTAAACCTCGCCAGGGAACCCCTAGCTTCTTGCAGCTTCATGAGAGCTTCTCCAAGCCTGTGTCTTCCGTGAACGAAGACACATACATAGAAGAGCAGAGCGGATAACCTCCATCGCTCGTACCATATTAAAGCTGGCACTAAAGGCAGGGCCAGCACTGTAGTAATAGCTCTGGCCCAGACGCCGAAGTATAGCAGCTCCATGCCTTCTAACCTCTCCAATTTTAAAGCAGTAAGTCCAATTGGCCAGAGCTCCAAAAAGGTTCTCTCTGTTAAAAGATAGTATGTACCAGTTATGGCTGTATACAATGCTGTGGGCTTATAATGCTCCAATCCTTGTTCCAATCCAAGAGCGAGGAGTACGAATGTGATGGTGACAATAAAGGTAACCGCTTTCGTCCATTCCAGGACTATCTTCGTCGCTGACATCGCGAGGTGCTTGACTCGGGAATGGCGAGTGACGTTGACATAGGGTGACCAATCTTCCTTGGTATAGATCTCACGGACATAGCTGACGGAGTAAGTGACGACGTTGTAGAACATCAAGGAGTAGAGACAGGTCAGTCTGCCTTGGGAGACCAGTAGGCGGTCGCAAGCTGTGAACATCAGTAACTGGAAACAAATAACCAATTTAAATGTTTAATATGACTAAGAAGAAGAAAGTATTAAGATTTATTCAAGGATCAGAAAATGTCATTTTTACCTGTCCAATCATAGTTGAAAGATTGTTCATCTGCAGGAAGAGTTTCTCAGCGCGCTCTACCGGTGCATACACAGCCTTCATGACTCCCATCACCCGCGATACTGGTGACCGCAACTTCTTTGCCAATTCTGAAATAGTAATAATTTATGTTAGTTTTGCCCACTTCATAATTCCTTTTTGTTTTGGATGGTATACGTATAATGAACGCAGTCTAATTCCGGACAATAAATGAAGCCCATCGGAAGAAATTGGGCAAGTACCTAGGTACTTAATTTCTTTCTAAATAATTATATTTTAAGGGAAATGAAATCTATGTAGGTTTGGTGATACTGCCAGAAAAAAATGACTACACTAAGTAGGTACACCTATTTAATTGCAGATTTATAGTTGGAAAGTAAGTGTATTTAAGTAAAATCAGTATAGCAACAAAGAGATGAGCGTGGGCGGGTGTCACCCTGTCACTTCACGTTGACCACACCAACTTTACACTTGAATCACTTGACTGTCTCAAGAAATTTTCTCTCATTTGCATATTTTTTCTTAAAGGATACCATTTTAGCCTCATTTCTGTAGAAAGAGGTAAAAAATATGGATGGTATTTGTAAAAAGCAACCAGTCAAAATTTTTGAGATTGTTTCCACGTGGTTTTGTTGATTATTATGTTCTTCTTATGCTTTCGTTAATCTATTTATGAGAGTAATGTTAGAGATGTGTGATTTTATTTAGTCGATATGCAGATTTTCACGTCAGAAAATTGAAAGAAGAGACGAAACAAAAATACCTTATCATCATCATGTGTGGTTATTTGGTAACTGGTGAATTTTTCCTTTTCGATTTTTCCTTTTTGCCGCATTTGCAAGAAATATACTTATTGAAGATATCAAATTTTATTTTTGCCTTGGTTCTATTGGTTAAAAATCATCCCCGTGACAACGGCTATAGGGGCTGACCACTGGGATGTTTGGTATAAAAGGACCACGATGGCACAAGGGTAGTCAGTTCAGAACTACGCTTCAACAGCTACATCCACCTTCCAACACCACATCGGAAAGAATCTGGTAAGTAAATTTTTCTATTTCATATTTTTCAAAGTTTCATATTTTTTTACTTATAAAATACACAATTTATTGTGTCCTATAGGCCAGGCATACATTTTTGTCTGTTACATTCAATTTCAATGTCCTCTAAATGAACATACAAACGGTGAAATAAACTTACTCATCTACGAGATTAAAGCTCTTAGGTATGTGGAGTGGTTATTGCCTACCTTTAGTTGAGGTAGTTCGTACGTTCGTAGTTCCTAGTTCAGAAACAGAATTTCTCATTTTACATATACTCAGAATGTAAGTTTAGGATTTACCAAAAAATTCACTTCATCAATCTCTCAGACAAGATGTGCAATCGTTTGACTTTGTATTAATGACTGCCCATATACCCGATGTTATCTCAACGTTGGACAGACTCGGTTGACCACATAAACTGCATATACACAATTCGTGCCCAAGATCACGTATTAATTGAAAGAGATGTGCTCTAGTTACGAAAATAGTAACATTGGGTAACAATCACCCGACAGATAATTCTGAATGCTTAAAATTCTTCGCGGTTTTAAGATGTCATGGTCCACGTATTATGGGAATTTTTATAGCAATTCCCTCGTTTGTCAGGCAAATAATTATTAGGTTTTATTACAACGACTTGTCTGTAGTAGCTAGTAACTACTTATGCTGAAATTGGCGCTATATTGGAAATATATTGAAAAAAATTTTGGCGCTATTCGAGACTCCGTTTAACTAATGAGGAATCCAAATAAATAAGACTTTCAAGATCCAATTTAGAATCTGATACCGGTCGGGTTTGGAACCATTTGACTAATACCATATACATATACCTATATTTTGTCCTTGGACGTTTAAATCTAAATTATTTTAAAATTAAAGTAAAGCGTATTTGTTTACAGTCTTGTCCTAAATGCGCACCACATGTTGTACTGTGTATCAAAACAAAATTATATTTTGAATTCGTAAATAATAAACACGACGCTTTCGACTGTTGACATTCGCATCTTGTGTTTTAGTCGAAAATATTTAACTTCTCAGCTTTGAAATGTTTTTTGAACAAAAGACATAATTTTTATAAAACTTTATAGGTACTAAGTTTCATAAACCCGTTTCTTATATATGTAAAGTAAATAAAAAGTGAATGCATGTCAGATGTTAAAAAAGAGGATCTGAGAGGACAAATAATATTCTGCTTCTGGGCGTGTAAATTCATCACGAACAACACATCTGCGTTGCACTATATTGCCCACCTTCCTAAAATACTTATCACAATCAATTGTGTATGTAAGATGCAACAAAGTACTCCCAATTTACACGAAGTACACACCCACATTACATACATAGATAGATGTGTCTATCAACAAAATTATAGGACGTAAAACTTTCAACTCGTGCCCAGACTTTCTTCAGTCCATCTCAATAATCACTACGGTTCATATACACAAACATGTGTTCTTGTTTAGACGCAAAAATACAAGTAAACTTGGTATGACGCACGCGCACTGGCCGTCCGCCAGTTTCCGTCGCCCCATTCAGCTTCTTCTCGACAATGACCTGACTTTTCCACATAAATATAAACCCAAGACTACAACAATAACACTTACAAGGCGTACAATTTTAATTAACTACGCTAGATACCTACTAGAATCTCTGGAATACCTGAAGGCACTATCTGTAGAGGTATATGCACTAAAAATTCTGATCTAGTTAGATTTATACCGAAATTCGCTCAATTCAGAGTGTATTTGGTTGTCTTTCCTTGGCGTGATTGCATCTTATGGAATGATTTTTGTGTCTGCATATGGCAGGCTGAAGAATGATATAGTTAGGTGTATGTTTTACTTTTATCAGACCTGTGAAACCGAGGTAGTAGCTATACCGTTTATTGAATAAGATAAACAAAATACAATTTAATTATTAAATAGAATGTGCTTTTCTTAATTAAACAATGGTGTTTCTGATAATGAATGTGATAAGTTTTCCGTCTGTTAAAACGTTTCTTTTTATGTTGATGGACTTGTAAGTAACAAGTAATGAAAACCAGATACAGTTTCATTAGTTTACGTCAATCTTTTTCACGCTAAGAAACTCATTAAATAAAAACAATTTTAATTCAACCGTTTTTCTTATCTTCATATCACAGATTGTGTTACTTCAAAACAAAAAAATAATAAATTATCTTCTAAAGACATTAGAGGTTAGATGAATACAATTTGTAGAGGGAATTATTTCGAGAACACTTAAGTGGAATGTTCTAGAAAATTCGTGCAACAATGATTTAAATGGATTATGTTGTTACGCCATATTGTGCATCTGCTACGTCACTCATATAGAAATCTGGAGCATTATTTTTCTGTCAATGACGAGTGAGTGAAACATGAAACGAGGCGTGGGATGCATAGGTCGGGAGATTGGCACACCCCGGTGTTTATGCTAACCGTTTGTTTATATACATACTTTCCGTCATTCTAGGCCTTAATACAACAATTTTCTGCGTCGAAGAAATCAGTTAACGATTCAGTGGGCGTTTGTTGTTTGTAAACGTAATATTTTTTCCTATTTTTCTGTTATTTTCCGAAATGCTGCCAGAAGATTTCCGGATGCCAATAGATATATCCGTTTCTAGAATAATTTATGTTTTATAGCAACGTTTGTGTCTCTATAATTTACGCACAGAAGCCAAACAACGAAACGAAAAGTTTCGTTGTTTATAATTTTCTGACTTTTTGTGGTCTATCGTTTTTCATAAAGTTAAGATATTGCTGACGGTTTTAGATCATAGCACACCTTTTCATTTCCTTCCAATGGATCGATCCTTATTTTTTGGTATCAGACGTAAAATATCATTAATAAAATAATGATTCATACCTTGAGCGAGTTTGACCACGGCAGGGTACCACGTCGCAGGGTATTTGTAGTTGGCTGAGATGAGAACAGGCACCACCAAACATGTGTACGCGGCCATCAGCCAGGCACCGCCGAGCGCCACTAGCAACCCTCTCGGCGCCCAATATGGTAATAGTAGGACCAAGGACAGCAGCCATACTGGAATTCAAAATAAGTCGAGTTTAAATTACTTAAAATATTATCTAAATAAATATGCTCTCTGCTTTAGTAGAATTAGTATGTTTCATTTGAAAATTTACACATTTTCATGAATTTTAAAGTATTTTTGTACCTAGTGATGGCAAGGTACGGCACTTTGTGTAAATAACAAGAGGTTTTATTAAACTCAGAAGATATAACGATATGTCAAGGTTGCTTCTAACTGCCAGCTCGTAAAAAGGCGGTAAAAAATAAAAAAAAGAACAACATGCCAGAGTCAGTGCACCGTAAACAATTATTAATAACTTTTTAAAAATAAGAAAAGCTTTGACGCCGCTGATAAATAAGGCTATTCCAGCCAGATATTTAGGTACTTTTCGAGTTTCCTTGTGAAGTACCTAAAGTTTAATTTATCTTTATGTTTTTGCGTCAACATTGCTCATGTTGAAAGCTTCCTTTATGGTTAACAAATCAAATATTTTTGTTGAAACACAAATCGTTCGCAGAATCTTTCAAAGAATTTAAAATATGGAGGGCATTAAATAATATTATGGATGGATAACAAGGAAAAATAGATGAAACAAATTGTTATGTACACTAGAAAAGAGTTATATATTATTAAAGGTGAAAATAAACAAAGTTACGGACTCTTCACAGGAAAACTCCAGTGTATTGTTTATCGACGTTTTTTACCGAAGATTCTCTGAATAGTTCTAAGAATATCGACAACTAAAAAACTAATAATAACACCTACTTACGAACATAAGCAGCAGTAAGCACTGGTTGTAGGTGTAGGTATATTATAGTTGCTGAAAACTTTATTACAGATCAATTGGTTGTGGTTGATTTCTCGATTCGTTACTTTCTACTTTCAGAGCCTAGCAGTATATACATAAAAGGACGCTAACAAGATCAGCCTCACAGAAAACCGACGTGAAACAACGCTTGCGTTGTGTTTCGTCATGTGAGTGACGTTACCGGAGCCCAAATTACCCCAGTTTTCCTTAATTCCTGAATCCCTAACGACCCTCAAACTCCTAATTCCCAAAACACCGGTAACGCACTTGTAACGCCTCTGGTGTTTCAGGTGTCCATGGGCGACGCCGATTGCCTACCATCAGGTGATCCGTCTGTTCGTTTACCGGCTTATGCCATAAAAAAAGATATTGTGATAAAGCATTAAGTTTCCATTCTATTTTCGTAAATAAAAGTAACTTGTCTACATTTATATGATCATATTCTTTTTGAGAAGTCTATTAATTCGTGACGTATCCATGAGTCACTTTCATGCAGTTTTCAGTGGTACATTAATAAAACGTTTGACGTAAAAACATAATTTATAACAGAATGAGAGACTAGTAACTCAGAGAGTCGTCTTTCTAGATTATTTATTCAGTCGCATTCGTAAGTCGGTCACCTCGACCCAATTTTTTAAATCATACAATTCAAACGTGAAATGTTTACAGATTAATTTATCAATTTACGTTATATTATGATTCTAAAGCACTAAGAAGAACAAAAACAGTTTACAAAAATAATCGTATTTTTTTCCAAGTCCCAATTAAGTTACATCGGAGCGGAGAGTAGTTACCTTTTTTGTCTCCCCAATAGACCTCATCTTAGTCCAAACTTCTTTTTCAATAAAACGAAAACATTAACTATTTTCAACAATAGACAATTTGGAGAATAGAATGAAATGCAAATTTTAGTTTTTAATTGCTGCCACGAAATTCAAACTGGCCTCCTCTGCCTCTATTTAGGCGCTACGAGTGCTACAAGAAAAATCCTGCTACGATTTCATAGTCGTAGCGTAGTCGTAGCAATTACACGTAGCGACGTAGCAAATACGAATCTTCAAAAATGTGAATATTTCTTTAACTTTCCATTAGATTCCTTATGTTCTAAATTCTAATTAACATGTTCTCCATAACTAAACTATTATAATATACCAGCTGAATTATATTTCAAGAAGTCATCTCAGAATACTTGGATGCTATACTGACAGAACTAGATGTGCCAGACTAGCCCTTGCGCATTTATACGACATGTCCTGTTTACACGTGCAAGTGACAATAGCAAACATGAGTCAACAGGGATAGAACAATAAACTTGTATACAAAAACAATATGAAGTCCATAGATAGCTATATGAAAACTTTCTCTCGAATAAAACAATGGGACTTGACTTTTGACTTTTCATAGACTTTTAATAATAGGTATCAAAAGTTTAAATTCATCTGCATCTTTTTTTAGAATAATTAAACTGGCCACTTCTAGAGCTTTTATTCCATGTTTAGAATATTTAATTTTTTTGAATCTATATTTGATTTTACTCACATTATGCCTCGTCCGGTTAGAATCGAATAGAAACTTAAAAATAAATGTGATAATGACCTAAGAATGTCTTATAAGGACACGAATATTGCTGTTATTAAATCTTTTACAGAAAATATTGGTTCATCATAACAAACACATTTTTTATTCGTGAACATTGTATAAAAATTTTGCTTTTAGCAATGTAATACAAAATTATTTTTACATATTCTCTGACAACGCTATAATTACTTAATTCAAACTACTTTTCTATTAAGATCTTGATTTATAAAACAAAACAGATTCCTACTTACCGATATTGGCAAGTTTGTCCTCAGATTTGAGCGTGTGAATTTTCGAGAAAGAATCACTCCTAATGCGTCCGCGCACTCGTGAGATCATGCCCATTTTATTAACTTGAAATATTCAACAAATAAATTAAACAACCACTGTTTTGTTCACCACGTTAGAAGTTTAAGAAATACTGTTTATTTCACTTTTATTTGAATGAAAAAATATTCGGTCTTTGTTGCCTCCGTATTCTGCGAAGTGTGTCACATGAATGCGCATTTCGCAAGCGGACGCCGGACGCTTGGGCGGGCGGCGCTCGCGCAGACAGATCTCTATCCCGATAGAAACCGACTTCGACGTAAATACAACATTATGTACATACATTTCTTACTACACACACACTGAGATAAAACACTGCAGTAAATGAGCAGCAGTGTATCGTACTTATTTGATTTGCTCCACCCGTTCAACTGCACCCACGTCACACTGCAATGACGTTTATTTTTATATTTAATTCTATGTCACTGACTCGTGAATCGGAAATTGTTATGTTTTGATTTCTATATCTGCAATTTTTAATGAAGGAAAATAAACAAAGAAACTTCGTGTTGGTATCTGAAGTTTTTTACCCCTGCGTAGGTTTCATGAAAGGTTCCCAGTAAACAATAAGTAGTTAGTTACTATGAACTCTAGAAGAAGACTACATTTAACAATTGAAATTATTACAGCTATGTAGGTACTGATAACGATAAATACGATTTCATTAAGGAGAAATGAATATACTGAAGAAGTTGAAGATATGTTGTAAACGATATGAAACTATGTGTACTTACCTAGATTGTTTCTAATAACTGCAAGTACCTATGTATAGTATTGTTTTTATGGCATAAGCCGGTAATCGAGCAGACGCATCATCTGATGGTAAGCAATCTGCTTCGCCCTTGGACACCTATGGAACACCAGAGGCGTTACAAGTGCGTTACCTGCCTTTTGGGGATTAGGACTTATTTTTTATTTTTTTTTTATTTTTATTTAAAAAGGATCTCCAACAGAGAATACACGTAACATGCACAGTGTTGATACAATAAACAGATACCTTGTGCTTCTCCAATTAAAGGAGATCACGACAATATTATAAAATGGAAAATTGTCAAATCAGGAAACAAAACAAACGATGCAAACAGAAAACAATGATAATAAAAAGACAATAAATTAAATTAAGACAATAAATTAACGTATAGGTACTTCAGCACCTATGTATCAGTGAGCAATGTGTGAAGCAGGGATTTGTATTTCCCCAGTTTATTGGAGAAAATATCAATTTCCGTGGAGTTACATGCTACGGTGTTATACAGGTTTGACATCCTAACTAGTGGTGAATGAGACTTTGAGGATTGTTGGTGATTTAGGGATTGGGGAGATTGGGGAAGGAGGGGTAATTGGGCCTCCGGTTTAACCTCATTCACACAACGAAATACAACGCAAGCGTTTTTTCACGTCGGTTTTCTGCTCGGCCGTGGTATCGCTCCGGTCAAGCCGGCCTATTCTGGCTCTCCCACACTTAAATAATGTAGTACATAGGTACTCACCTAAAGGCGAGATGTTTAGAACACTCAATCATCCTTCAGATCGTCTGAGACATTTACATAAACATCTGAAAACCAATCCAATTAGTATCCTAAAGCCATTTGATCAAAGCTCTATTTACAAAAATAAACACTGGTTACGTGAAAACCGGCACGATGTTTACATTCATCGGAACTCATGACTGTCCTATTATTTTAAACCCAAACGGATACGTGGGTAGAATATGTAGACTTGCATTTTTGTTATAAATTTAGACAGGCACTCAATGGTTTCTTAGAATATTTTAGTAACGATTGATAATAATATTAGGTAGTCCGTAATGATTAAGATGTTTGTTATTGATTGGGAATTTTCGCTCGTGATTTCATTGAGTATTCTATTTCTGTATAAGCATCGAAGGCCAATTTTTCAATGCTCAGATAAATTTTAACTGAAGAATAACTAGTTTAATATTTGACAATTCTTCCATAATAAGAACTGATAACTCTCAATTCCATTCTATAGTTAAAAATTAACTGATGATTGAAAAATTGTTCTTATATATCCGTTTCTTCTGATGATTGCCATACGATTTTATACTGTTGTACCTACAGGACAGAATGACAGATCAAATATACTTTACCATCAACTAACGAAATACTCTAATAATTATTTACCCTTTTATTATAATCTCAATTAAAAAACCATTAAAATGGAATCATTCCTACGACTTACCTAATCAATAGATGGAATTAATTACTAAATGTTCTTCGTTAAATATTACTTATTACATCTCATTAGAGAAAAAGAAAAGTGTAAATATATAGATATAATGTAGTTAGCTCAAAAAACTTAGCAGAGGTTCGGCATTTGAACGTCGACTCTTTATACAGAAACTGCATAATTTGTTCAGCAAAGACAAGGTAGGTTACACACAAGCTACCTTACAGTGGTGATTTATACAATAGGGATTGCATTTTTAGATATTAAGAGACGCCTTCTTATGTTGAATGTGTACTGGGTACCCATTTACGTATCATTATTTTCACCATTACACTCCTCTTCATCAGTACCGTCTTTACCATAAGGGCACTCAAGGCCCGTGCCCAGGGCTCTACCCTCAGGGGTTCCCGAAAGGCCAATTTTTTTCTTCTTCGAATTTCTTCGACGGACACACACCCGCTACACAACAGTAACCGGCTGCCTTTCAACGTGAAGCGGATCCGATTCCCGCACGGAGCAAATCTTTGTTTGATCCACAAATTGTTGTTTCGGGTTTGAGTGTCATATTGTGTATGTGAACTTGTATGTTTGTAAATGCACCCAAGATACAGGAGAAAATCTCAGTGTAGGGCAACGTTAAAAAAGAAACATTTCAAAAGGGCCCGAACATTGTCTGCCCAGGGGTCCCAGAGGTCTAAGACGGCCCTGCACTATGTATGTAGGTTTTATCATAATATGCCCACTTAGTATAGGGGTTGAAGATAGCTGTTTAAAGAGTTTAGGTTTATCAGAGAGTGTTACTTCGGTACTATTCGGTTGTTAAAAATGTGCTGTAGTTCCAAAATTGGTAGTAAAGCAGGGCCGCACCAGAGCAGGTCACGAATGCCGTCACCACTAGCACAATATGTTATTGTGGTACAATAAATCAGTTCAAAGGAAAGAAAGAAAACATTGTGAGGAAACCTGGGGTTATAATTTCTAATTATAATTGAGCAAGCGTGGTGATTAATGGTCAAACCTTCTCTGTGTGAGAAGAGGCTTTGCTCAGCAGTGGGCATTTATAAGCTGTTGATGATGATGATGATGATGATAATGAAACCAGTTCATTATTAAAACGCTTTTTTTTTGTATTACAGAACTCTTCAACATGCAGTCTTTGGTGTATCTGATGCTCGTTGCCTTCAGCTCCTGCCAGGCGCACTACAGAGGTTCATATGACTCCCGAAACTTCATCACCAGAGAAGAACCAACGACTAAAGGGTAATGGATCTACTTAATATAAGTTATCGTCACACTGTTGGAACATTTAGGTCAATATTGTAGGCTGTTGATCATACCATTATAAAAACTTTGAATTCTGAGGCGTGGTATTTTATCCCCAAGCGGTCACCGGTGGCCGCTCTCCACTTTTGACCCATATTATAGACCTTATTTCCGATATTTTGAGACTAATTTCGTATAAACAAATTTAGGGGATGATTTTCAACAGGTTAACTAGAGTAAAAATATTTATTCATAAGCATTTACTTAATTTAAATTTTAAATAAAATAATATATAAATTACAAAGTTTGTTCCAAATTCACAATTAAAACAATTCAACTAATGTGTTTCTTATTTTTGGTAGAAAGTTCTCATGGCAATAGAATTTATACGTGGTATTATTAAATAACACGATTCTATCAATGTATTTATCACGTTATTTTTATCAATGTATTTATTGTCTTCTGATAATAAGAAGTACCTAGGTGCCAGATATCATTTTCGATAAGTTCAATAAATATTCCATCAGTAAAGGATTTTAAAAATCCCCATGTAAAACGTAGGTCTTGCCATGCTAAAAAATGGTATATTTACTGATTACTGAAACTTTAATTATTCTTTGACACTTTTATTCGTATTTTTAAAGTAACCATCTTATTTTTATGGCAGTGTCCTGATCGAATGTCCGGTGTGCGATCAGACTAATCACTGGATGGCCAGCACTGAAGATTGTCCCATCAGAAACGGCAGCAAGACCTTCAAGATTTGCAAGTTTGGAACATACATCAACGAAGTTTGTGGAAAGCGAGTTGACTGTTACAGCGTATGTATTATTGTTTAACTAACTTTCGTTTTTGCTTTTGATTTTAAATGTTTTTATACAAAAATATCCTTATTTTATTCATTCATACAGTCCTTTAATGGCAAGACGTCAATGAATGTTTGTTAAGTCAACAGCACATAAATTTTTCAGAGATACTGGAATTAGACTTTGGAGTGTATGGTAAGTATACTTAATTGTTTTTTTTTTTTTTGTATTTGTCCAGGGCCCTGGTGAACAATGCACTGAAAAACGCGAATTCGATATGTACGGCAAGAAGTGCGCCCCCGGTTATTATTGCAACAAAATGGAAGGCGTCTGCACTGGACTTGAGTTCCAGCTAGGCAACAACTGGCAGTGGAAGATGTACCCCTACACCGGAGTCCGCAGCGAACTCAGAAACCAACCTGAAGACTCCAAATTCTCCTTCGAAGGAGTCCGCAACTAACTCCTGAATTCCAAGCCCAACTACCACGGGACCATCCTATCTTGACCTCCCTGATCTCATCCCTAGTCATATTTTTAAGTATACGCTTATAATTTGTAATCAACATTCCTATTAGTGATCTCAATTTTGTTGTTCCTACATTTTTGTACGAAAGATTCCTGAATATACATAATTAATTTGTAAAAGCATAACTGAAGTTTTATTACAAGTTTGTCTAATTTGAGAATCAAAGTCGCTTCGCTCCCATAATCTTACTCTTATACTATACTACTATACTATTATAGAGGTATATACTTTTCGGGATAAAAAGTACCCAGTAAGCGGACCAGTAGTTTTTGTGTGATGTGTGTACATACAGACATACAAACATTTTTTTAATCACATTTTTGGGTTCATTTTCTATCTAGTAACACCACCTAATATTTATTTTTTTAATATTTTCAATATACAACATTTACATTTCTATAGTCCTAGTACCGATAAATTTTTAAGAAGCGGCCATTCTATTCAGATTTAGGTACCAAACTCTATCTAAGTAGATACCTGTCGCGGAGAACCTAACGGGTTACCGGGGCTCCGGCTCGACGTGCAGGAGAAGGAACGGGGTAGTTTTTAATCAGTTAGAGTCTGACACTCCCTCTAAATATTTTCAATATACAACATTTACATTTCTATAGTCCTAGTACCGATAAATTTTTAAGAAGCGGCCATTCTATTCAGATTTAGGTACCAAACTCTATCTAAGTAGATACCTGTCGCGGAGAACCTAACGGGTTACCGGGGCTCCGGCTCGACGTGCAGGAGAAGGAACGGGGTAGTTTTTAATCAGTTAGAGTCTGACACTCCCTCCCGCCTCACCCAGGCGGGAGCAGTCATTCGATGATTTTCACCCCAAAAAAGTCTAAATAGAGACCTACAATTTAACTTATGACTAATCGAATCTATTTAGGAATGCAAGTAGCATAATTATTATAATCACTGATCCATTAACCAGATTATGAGTAGTTTTGGTAATTCCCCGTCAAAATTAAATAGAGGTCTGAGGTGTTGACATTTGCAATAAACAAAACTGTTAAAAAATATGACATTGGTAATATTTTTTATTGGACGCATATAAAAAGAAATGTATTCATTGAAATAGCAGTGGCTAGAGTCCAATACATGTTTAATTAATAAATATAAATAAAATGAAATAGACTCTACTTTACTCGACTGTTTTCGGTGCAACATTTCGTGGAATTAATTCCTGCATGTAATAAAATGTTAGAGTTTAATGATTAGTTGAACCACCCAGAGAAAACTTATGAATATTATTATAGTTAGACAATTTTATTAATCACTTCTACCATATTTTGTAAGTTTTATAAGGGGCAACATCGAAAGGGCTCGTGTAACCATTGGCAAATGGCAACCCCGTGCCCCGTTCGCTATCAACATTTTTATTGGTTGTTGACGTTTCGTTTGTTTGGGTTCGGCCGGCCGGTGGGTGATTCTTTCTTTCGTGATCCATTATTTGTTGTGGTTCGGCTGCGCTCGTGAGAGACATGTCACGCCACTCAGCTCTGCAGTAAACCTTAATCGCAGTTCGTTGACTATTTAATTTGTTTTATTTTAATTTAAATTAGTTTGAAGTGTGTCGTTTATCGATTTTTTTATTACTGATTTGTGCCTTCATACAGTGAATAAACTCGAGGAAGTTCTCTTTCTTTCTAAGAAGTCCCGAAAAGGTTCAACATTTAAAAATGCAACTTTCTTTGGATACAATGTTGGGTAAAAAGCCTGATAAATGTAAAGTGTGTTTGCTTCGGAATGTAAAACCGGAACATTATGAATCCGAAAAACACAAGCAGAATTGTTGTCTGAAGAAATATACAGTAAATAAGTAAGTGGTATTTTTTTTCTGAATTAAAATGCGTTCAAAATTTTTTTTTCATTACAAAAATGTTTTTTTTATTTTTCTTATCTGTTTAAGATAATTTTTTTTATTTAAAATATTATTTGTTAACTTTAGTTTTTAATACTAATACTAATTATAAGCTAAAATAAATGGTAGGAAAAATAATTTGCTAAACAATTAAAGATTTATCATTATTTCTTTTTCATGTTTTAACAACTCAATTTTTTTATTGAAATTATAATAATTAACTACAAGATATTATATTTTATTTTGTTATTAACTATGGTATAATACTTTGTCTACAGGTCACATTTTACTGCAAACCGTTTAAAAGTAGCTTCGTTATATTGCGAAGTCACCTCATCTACTGCCTCTACCAACAGTAGAGAAGGAAAAATTAAGGTTTCTGTAAGTAACATAAGATAATTATAGACACAACTCATTACAAAATTGTATTTGTATACTGCCAGTTATATTTTATAATCTATGCAAGTAATTTTTTTAATGTTTTTTTAGGTAAAACCTGATGAGACAGTTGAATTTAAATTTACTCTCTCTAATGATAGTAAGATGAATAGTCTAGAAGTGATTGCAGTAGACTTGGTACATTCAGAACTTAATTTTGAGATACCCAACAACCCGTACAAGCCTGGGAATGAGCCTCACATAATCGCACCAAGTAAGTTATTTAAACATTTTTTTTTAGCAAAACTTTAGTTATGGACAGTAGATAAAATATAAATTAAATACTAGTTGCAAAGTACCTAGCTTTGGCAAGAAATAGTAACTCTACAAAAAATTATAAAGTACTCACCAGTAAAGTGGCTGCCAGGAGAAAATCTGCTGATGGCAAATCCGAGGAGGATTACGTTGTCACTGCTAACATCGTGGTCGTGTAACGTGTTAATTTTTAACAATTTTAATTGTTCTTACCTGAAACAAATAAACACTACGCCTTGTCATTCCAAGGGATCAAAAAAGACTGTACCCAGTACAAAATGGTGTACTGCCATTTTATGAGTACAACAGATCATTGAACATCCCGCAGAGCCGTATTATGCCTGTGCAACTGGTTAAGTGCCTAGGTTAGGCGCCAGGTTACGTAGGTCGGAGCTCTGCGAGAAGCGTAAGCCAAAAGCGGCGACGGCGCCAAAAAAAAATGAAGGCCGCCTATGAGCAACTTGCCAAGGGCGCCCTCGAGGTTTAATCCACCTCTGCTATCCCTCCCAATTACTAGAAAGGGTAGAAAGCCTAACATTGTTTTAATTTTCTAGGAACCAAGCTGCCTGATAAAGTTGTGGTCAGTTTTAAATCACCACACATTGGACAGTATGAAACTCCAATCCTTTTCAAATTGAAGCAGAAAGACGCTAGTAACGAGACCATTGCTTTAATGAGAGATATGGTAAGTGACAATAAATATAATTAGTACATGCAATTACCTAATTTAAGTGCTTGTTGCGACCATTTACGTTCAGATAACTTATCATTAAGGCAAAGCTCTACTTATGTAGATATAATTAAATAAAAATATCGGAAATTCGTAATACATTTTTACAAGTAATTAAAATAAATAGATGTAATATGTAAAAGAGTCCCTACAAGTAGGTACTGTTTGGGGAAAAGCCTCTTCGAGTATGGTGTAGAAATGAGCATTTAGTCACTGCTTGCTCTAAGTGGGTCGTCCATTTCAAATTTCGAGTTTTCATGGAATGCCAACAATATCCAAATAATCAAAATACCTACACAATATAACTCGGTTAAAAGACGTAAAAGTGTTTCGTGAGACTAAATCAAGTTTATACTAAATCAATTATTGTGTTTTCGGCTTACTCACGTAATTATTTGAGGAGGAAGTCGACTAGTTTCAAGCATGCTAAAGGCTCATATTCATGAGCAGCATTCCGCGACCCGCGACACGGCGACGGTCGCGCTGTTACTCCAGTAGTAAAATAATTACGTGAGTAAGCCGAAAACAAAATTCCTAATTGACGTTGGTAAAAGTTGGTCAAAAGTGCTCAATGCAATTTTTTCTTATTCTGCAGTCAAGCGACTTGTTCTGAGGCCTTAGTACGAGTTTGATTTACGTTTAAAGTATTCGAAACGAGTACGCGTTCGGCGCCCTGATTGGCCAGCACCAATGAACCAACCAAATGAAAAAACCAAGGCCTCTGATTGGTTGGTTCATTGGAGCCGGCTAATCACAGCGCCGAACGCGTACTCGTTTCGATTACTTTCAACGTAAAAGAAACTCGTACTAAGGCCTCTGGATTTATGGTCTAGTACTTACGTAATTGTGCATCATTCGTCCAAGTACTCGATTTCCGGGAGGGTTACAAATGAATGCTACTTGACTTTCTAACAAAGAATGACAGATGTTAAAGAGCACTGCCGATCTCGGGAGGGTCATTGGTACTTGTGAACAGAATAAGACCTGTAATATGACCGTATTATGTACATTTGTGAATTACTTCTGAGATGACATAGCTACGGTTCAGGTTTCCGTACACGTTGTGTTTATCTTCAGTCAGATTTTATCTATTAACTACCTAAATGAAATCTGATCTGATGCGTGCCTAAGCAATGTTTACCTCTAAATCTACTATTTCCTTGCTCATAGTTAGCTCTATTTTAGATAGACATAAGTTACAAGAGCTAGACTGCACTGAAAATGATATGCAAATTTCTCCAGCGTTATTATTTCAGAATACCAAGATTTCCAACAGATACATGCATTGCTAGTAGCCAGTTATCTGAAAGACCTATTCATCCAAATAACACGAAAATTGTACGAATTAAATTATTGTTACTGTTATTACAATCAGCGCGGTCGATCGCAAAATATTTAAATGGTCGGTTTTACTACGCAAAAAACATTAAACTTTTGCATCTTTTATGCACACAGCAACGCAGTCACCCTCATTTAAAATTGAGTCCTAAAAGCTGACCCTTTGTCTGGCTCGTTTTACAGACCATTATTGGCCTATTCATTGATTTGACCATGTGCTGCGAACTTTTCAAATTAAGTCGTGCGTCATTCAAAGTGATTTGAGTAATATGACAAAGGACTGAAAGTCCAAAATGCAAGCACTATAGGGTTAACCCGTAGTCTGCATATTATGTGCTATGGACTTTGTCACCAGTTTTATATTAAAAGTACTTATTCAAGTATCATGTATTCATTCTAATATCGTGAGGTCATTATTGCGGCGTTTAACTCATAGCTAGGCCCTGCTTACCTATATTATGTTACCTAATTATAGCTTTTTGTAAATTAATTTCCACATTTTTGCTTTCCTTTTATTCAGGACAAAGGCAACTTATAAATAGAAGCCCTATTATCGAGGGTTCGCTAATGCGTCAAAGGAAAGCTCTTGTATCGATTAGATACGACTACTTTAAATATTTATAGTTGCAACTGCTTTGTAGGTCGTTACTCGAATGTCTGTTTTAACTGAATTTCAAGGCCCAGTAGTATCTACTGCAGTTTTGTAATAAAGACAAAACTATTAAAGAATAAGAGTTTCGCACTGCATTTGTAAGCACAAACAATGAAGCAATTACAAAGACACAAACCCATTACTGGTGTTATTTTCCTGACTTGGCTTGACTTTCTGTGCAAGTCACATTGACTACACCTAGTAGTGGTAGAGGCTAAACTGATTCACAAGAAGTCAAACCTTAAAAACGTTCGTCCAACACATTTGTTAAAAGTCTGTAAAATAATACAGTTAGGTACTATTTCCATTGTTCCTAGCAGGTACTTACGAAAAGAGATATATAAGTTTAGTCCCTCCTATTTGTTCGTTGACTGGCTAAGCGGCTTCTCGGAATATCCCGATAAATAAACAATAGGTGCTTATTGCTACCCGTGCTTATTATCGTTATTTCATCCGAGGTTTGACCTTGTATTTTTAACAGGAACTATTTAAAACATGAATTTAAAGACAGACTAGCCTATTCAAGGATTTTTTAATAATCGTCACAGTTCACATGCCTACTTAAATGATATTTGTATTACGCCCTCGTAATGTCTGTGATACTTCCTTATAGTAAACAAAGGAATATTCATAAATAAATAGCACACGCCCTTTTTGCCAACGTCCTTTTTCCATGTGATAACCATCCGATCGACCACCGGACGCGATTATTGACTTTTACAACTATTTATATAGCAAACAAAATAGTATAAACCCAATCCCATGCCTTTTTTCTATCTACTGGCTGACTTTCAGAGGGCGCGACATCCGCGTTACCGGGATTAAAATTACCCTATGCGACTGCGCCACTCTAGATCAGTTCCATAACTATACCAATGGAAGTTTAGCAAATTTATCGAAGCGGAGGCCTACCAAATACATGTAAAGATCCAGTCCAGATATGAACCTCTGAACGGGGACTCCTTCCAGCTGGGGCCCGCATGGTATTATGCCGACTTACCAGTACCTATAGTTACGCCACTACCAACACTATAAGCTATCTCTGTGCCAAATTTCATCTAGTACCTACCTACCATTTAGTAACACTTGCGTGAAATATAGACAAACATCCAGCTTCACAAATTAAAATAATAGTAGGATGATAGTCACAAAATACAAAAAAGAAACAGGGTCGTAAGGATTAAATAGGTACTTGACATCGGACATTGGTCATCTATACAGGAAATTATGCTTTTTATTACACGCGTATATTTTCGGGCTTCAAATATTGGTCGTAGGCGTAAAGAATCAGTTTCGTACTTCTAGAATTTTTTGATAAGAACATAATTATACATGAATGAACGTTTATTGTGCCTTTGTGACCGCGCCTACATAACTCTAATGTTATCTTAAACAGCAAACAAACAAAGCGTCTTTGTCAATGAAAAATATTTTTTGCCAGTACCAGTACTACCTTGAGTATTTGACCAAAAACTACAGATTTTGTTGTTTCTTGCCATAGTATAGTATGGTGAAAAAAAACTTGAAGGAATGTTGCTTTTGTTTTTTGGGGAGTGGGAGGGGGGGGGGTCAGGTAATACGACCCTGTAATAAAATTTTCGCTCGTGTTATTTTTAGTAGACAATCAATTCCCTCTCCTGCCAAAAAGAAATGGTTTTACTCAACAGTGGACATATTTCAACTGATGATGGTTTTTTTCCATGTGCGATCATTCGGTTGTTTCTAATAATGTCCGAAGAACCATACATAGGACTTTGTGTACCTTTTTGAGGTTTTTTGAGCCGGAACCCCGGTAACCCGTTAAGCTCTCCGCGGCTCCGTATCGGCATCAGCCCTATTGGGCCCCATCCGTGGTGGTCTGATGGCTAATTTAGCATGTGTGCATTTACATTTAGATAGTTATTCTGTGCATTAGATATCAATTCTAGTAAAGTTAATGTTGGTAGAATGTTCCTAGTACACTCACTATCCTTAGAATGAGGAGGCAGTCAATTATTGGTTCGTTTAATCAATAAACGGTTGACTGGTCAAGTGGGAACTGCAGGCACCTACATTTTGTATCGAGCAAAATATCTGTACTTAAAGGACTGACAAACAGTATCATTATTATTGTACCTACTTAAGTCTTCACTTGAAAACTGCATGTTTCTTGTTTATGTACCTCTACTACTAGTAGCCCGTCCCGGTTTCGCACGGGGTAGACAATTATTTATTTTTGGAAATTTGGATTGTTGTAGTGACATAACTACAATAGTTGAACATATGCTACCGCGAAGTTTTTTGTAGACATTATGATGTTCTTCAATATTGTTGTACATTATTTTGTTCTATCGCTAATAGTTTCGGCAGCGCATTCGACGAAAGACATTTTAAGACTCACCTTTCTACATCTTCGGTTACATTGTTCAAATTTTACCTAGGATCCCTATTTTTTTTCAAATGAAATGTAGCTTATGTCAAATTGGAAGAATGTAATATTCTATTGGTGAAAGAATTTTTTAAATCGGCCCAGTACTTTTTGAGCCTATTCATTACAAACATACAAAAATAGGTACAAATCTTTCCTCTTTATAATATTAGTATAGATAGGTGTTATAGGTACTCGTGCATGTTTAAAAACCTTCAGACGTAGGTATAATTTGAGTAAGTAACTAGATTCCGTGATGACTTCGATTTCGATTCATAAGTAATGAATCATTGAGGACCTGGCTAGCTATTTTGTAACTGTGAATTCGAACTTTGGAAGTGAGCTCGATCGTCGATCGCATTCTCGCAGGTCGAGATTATTCTCAAAACCAATGACGAGTTCACTTCGATTTTTCGAATTGAAAGTTATTGAATAGCCAAGCTGCTTCACATTGCCTGGATACTTGTTAGGTATGTACCAGGATTTTTAAAATTAAGAACGTGTTTTTTATAAACTGTCTGTTACATGTAATGTATGTGAACTTGTTTGTTTGTAAACGTACTCACGACACAGGAGCACGTTTAAGAAGTTTATCCTGTATTTATAATATGATAGTGGTGAAACAATCACTGGGGTTTGGTAACGGGAGAGTAGAATACATTAATTGTAGCCCTACTCAGCCCTACTCTTCCTGCGTAGTCGCGGAGAACCTAACGGGTAACCGGGGCTCCGGCTCGACGTGCAGGAGAAGGAACGGGGTGATTTTTAGTCAGTAAGAGTCTGACACTCCCTCCCGCCTCACCCAGGCGGGAGCAGTCATTCGATGATTTTCCCCCTTAAAAAAAAAACTGCGTACCTTCTTAATCCTTTTATGCGTGCTTGCAGCGTGGATGGATATGACAAACTGCTCTTTTTTTGAGAAGACTGATAGTCCAGCTGTTGTCTCACGTGTTATTGACTTACAATCAGCTGCTTCGACTCGCATATATACAGAACGTGTTTGTAAACATACCTAGGTTAGAAAAAAACCAAAACAGACCGTTTTTGCTCTATTGAACAACACTTAACCCATATTTTTACATACACTACGATTAGTTATTCGGGTAGTTTTTATTATTACCTAGTTTGTAAATAAAGCAATGCGTTCTTTGGTTTCAGGTGGTTTATGTGGAGGAGACTGTGTCGCTCCATGACAAGATTATAAGCCCTTATGAAAAAAAACCGGTATGGGCAAAACAATTGCTCAGGTCTCCTCACAAAGAGTAAGTATTGCCTTATTTTGTGTACCAATTAACTATTGTGAGACATACTAAATTAATTAAAGATGTAAAAGTAACACGGGGTCTCTTGGAAATAAGTGAGCCCCGGTGTGACTGGAAAATAGTAGACCATTTCTCGAATTGTTCACAATGTTTGCGTAGGCGCTATGTACCAAGTAAAACTAAGAGCGTAATTTTATATGATGTTGTTGCCACATGTATTTATATGGTGGTGAACCAGGTGCTTATGCAACGCACATTTGTACTATACTACTGCCTATCCCTATTGGGATAAATACTAATGACTACCTCTAATATTAATTAATAATTTATTTCCAGGGAGTCGGACGAAATGTTTCCAATACCAAAAAGTTGCAAGCTAATCTTTGCAAATAATTTGCAAGTCGCTGGCAAAGCTACTGAGCTTGATAAAGAATTGGCGGCTGACATCAGGTTAGTGTAGAGCTGACTTTTTCATGTGGTAGGAAAAGGATCGACAGCAGAAGGATCACCTGATGATAAGTAGTCGACACTGCCTTTGGACACCCGCATCACCAGAAGCCTAACCTAAGATAATTTTGGGCCTCCCCGATAGCTTCACTCATATGGTGAAACATAACGCAAAAGTGTTGTTTCCCTCGTTGCTCGTTCTCGTTG